TCAAAAGAAGGAGTAATGGTAGATCCTCAAAAGATTGAGACAGTTAAGAATTAGGCTTGGCCTAGCTCTGTGACAGAAGTTAGGAGTTTTATGGGGCTCGCTAGCTACTATCGTCGATTTGTAAAGAACTTTGCTTCTATTGCCACTCACTTGACAAATTTGACCAAAAAGGAGATACCATTTGAATGAACTGAAAAATGTGAGGAGAGTTTTCAAAAGCTCAAGACTCTTTTGACCACCGCACATATTCTAGCATTATCGGTTGAAGGTAAGGATTTTATTATTTATTGTGATGCTTCACATTCGGGTTTGGGTGATGTGCTAATGCAGGATAAGAATGTCATAGCCTATGCATCACTACAGTTGAAGGTGCATAAGAGAAATTATCCAACACATAATTTGGAGTTGGCAGCGATAGCATTTGCTCTAAGATCTAGCGACATTACCTTTATGGTGTTAACTGTGAGGTGTTTACTGATCATCGTAGTTTGCAATATATGTTCACTCAAAAGGATCTGAATTTGAGATAGAGAAAGTGGATGGAGTTACTCAAGGATTATGATGTGACCACTTAATACCATTCAGGTAAGGCTAATGTAGTGGCAGACGCTTTAAGTCAAAAAGCGGTGAGTATGGGTAGTTTAGCTTGCTTGAGTGTAACCAAGCGACTTTTGGCTAAGGAAATTCAGAACTTGGAATCTAAGTTCATGCAGTTGGGCATCTCAGAAAGAGGTGGGGTGTTAGCTAGCATTGAAGTAAGGGTCACGCTTATTGAGGAGATCAAAGCCAAACAGTTTGATGATGAAAATTTGAATGAACTTAAGAAGAAGACTGCGATTGGTAAGGCACAAGAGACCACTCTTGATGCGGAAGGTGTGCTCAATTTTAAAGGAAGGATTTGTGTTCCTCGACTTGATGACTTGATTCAGAAATTGTAGACAGAATCTAATGGTTTGCGATATTCCATTCATCCGAGTGTGACCAAGATGTACCGAGATTTGAAGTGAATTTATTGGTGGCCGGGCATGAAGAATGATATAGTGGAGTTTGTGGCTAAGTGTCAAAATTGCCAGCAAGTGAAGTATGAACATCAAAGGCCTGCAGGTTTGCTTCAAAGAATGTCAATTCCGGAATGAAAGTGGGAAATAATAGCCATGGATTTTGTGGTTAGTCTTCCCAAGACTTTGATGAAGTTTGATTCTATTTGGGTAGTGGTTGATAGATTGACTAAGTTAGCCCATTTTATTCCGGTAAGAATAAATTATAATGCTGAACAATTGGCTAAGGTGTATGTGAAAGAGATAGTGAGGTTGCATGGGGAGCCCCTTTCTATCATCTCAGATCGTGGTACGCAGTTTACCTCCAAGTTTTGGAGGAAATTACATGATGAATTAGGCAAGCAACTCACATTTAGTACATCATTCCATCCACAGACAGATAGACAGTCAGAGAGGACTATTCAAGTGTTAGAAGACATGTTGAGGGCATGTGTGATTGATTTTGGAGGGCATTGGGATAAGCTCTTACCTTTGTGTGAGTTCTCTTATAATAATAGTTATCACTCCATGCATAGATATGGCACCGTTTGAGGCACTCTATGAGAGAGGATATAGATCACCCATAGGATGGTTCGAGGTTGGAGAAGTGAAACCTTTGGGGGTTGATTTAGTGAAGGATGCTCAAGATAAGATGAGGAATATCCAAACTAAACTTTTAGCAGCCCAGAGTAGACAGAAGAAGTATGCAGATCATAAGGTAAGAGACATGACATTTTAGACTGGTGAGAATGTTCTTCTTAAAGTATCACCCATGAAAGAGGTGATGAGATTTGGCAAGAAGGGCAAGCGTATAGGTTGGCTCTACCTCCTAATCTATCGGGTGTTCATCCGGTATTCCATGTGTCTATCCTGAAGATATATCATGGTGACGAGGATTATATCATTAAGTGGGACTCAATTGTGTTTGACAAAGGCCTCAAATATGAGGAGGAACCGATTGCAATTCTTGATCGTGATGTCCGAAAGCTGAGGACCAAGGAGATTAAGTCCGTGAAAGTTCAACAAAGGCATCGTCCAGTTGAGGAAGTTATTTGAGAAATCGAAAAGGACATGCGAGAAAAGTATCCCCAATTGTTCGTCGATTCAGGTACTATTACATTCTTCCTTTAGCCTATTTTTTCCTAAGTTTGTCACTCGGGGACGAGTGATGGGTAAATTGGTATCTATTGTAACAATCATTTCCCATCATTATAGAAAAGTCAAGGGAAAAACTTTTGAGCCGGGAAACTTTTTTGCAGTATCTTGAGATTTCCCAACCTAGTCCAGATTTGGACGAAATCGGAGTTATTAAAGTCTAGGGAAATCTAGTAACAATTGGGTGATCCAATTATGAATTTGATCACATGAGTGGATAACTAAGACGTTAAGGAACCAGTATGACTTTATGAAATTGAATTCGGGCGAGGAGAACTCCCGAAATTGATCTTAGCGTGAACGGATATTTTCGAAGTGTCATGGGATGAAAGTGTGTTGTGAAATGGGGTCTTGAAATTACTAATTTTGCTCACTAGTTCCGTGCAAGCCGCTAGGGTGGGATTTCTTCCGCCAGGGCGGGGCCGCTGTAGCGGGATGAGTACCGCTGTGGCGGGACAATTGCGACTTAAAGTTAGAAATAAACCTCAAATTTGTTTTATTCTGTAATTTTTGAACTTGAGAGCTAAGGAACAAACCCATGTGTTTTCTTGACGGTTTTCACCATTCTTAAGGCTAAAGGTAAGGTTTTAACTCCTCGAATCCATTTTTTGGTCTGTAGAACATAATCTAATGGGTAATTATCGATGAGGGAGGGTTTTGATCTCGAATTTATGGTGGAAAAAGCCCTAATCTAGGTATGAGGATCATGGATTTGATCTAGGGTTGATATAATTGTGGGTAATGCGGGTAATTAGTTATTGTTTAATGATTCTCGTGTTATTGATTGTTTGTAGACCAAGAACAAGCGGAATGAATTCGTAAAGGGAAGAATCAAGTTTTTTAGGGGATTCAAGCTTATTTCGAGGTATGTGATGGTTGTGATTTCATGTTGTGTGATGTATGTTTGTTCTTGCTTCATTATAATATGTGTATGTATGCGAATGTTGCATTATTGATCACACTATTCATAAATGATGATGATTGAATAATTGTTTGCCATGAAATCATGACTTGTAGAATAGATCGGGTGTTGCGTTCTGACACACTAACTTGGATCGGTTTCCATGTTCCGACATAAATATCTGATCGGTTGCCACGTTTCGGCATAAAAATTGGATCAGGTACCACATTCCGGTATGCTAACTGTTTGGGTTTAGGTTCCATGAGAGGACCAATGAGTTGATAAAACTATATATCTCAAAAAATATGAAATTGTTCATTGTTCGTAATGATGATAATATTGTATATGTTTGGTGTATGCATGTTATTATATTATTGTAAAGACTTGTGTATGTTGCACTTATTGGGATAGTCGCGTGATCCTACCAGTACATTGTGGATATCTACTGATACTACACTTACTCTTTCTTTGTTGAGTACAGGGCATCCTCAGGTGGCTATTGACAGACCTCACTTAGAAGATCAGTGATCGTCGTTCGAATTCAAGGGTGAGCCAGTTCTTCCGAGCTGCCATGAGTTCTCTTTCTATCTATGTCCACATATCGAACGAAGACTTTCTAGTTAGTTATTAGTACATTAGTTTGGGATTGTAACCCTTCTTGTTAGTCATATGGATCTTGTTAATGTTTTGGTACATTGACTTTCAGGTTCTAGGCGTATTTTTAGCATTGTTTGTTAGACTTTTGTTCAGAGTTTATGGGAACTCCCTATTTCTTTTCCTTAGCATTTAAACCTGCTTCCGTACCTTTAAATGCCTTAGTTTTTGGTTGAGTTTGTTGGTCTGGGTCATGACAGTATTATGTATGGTATTAATTAGTACTATGTTTGGTAGAATTTTTGGTCCTAAGTATAACTAATTCATGGATTAGTTATACACCATACATGGTATTATATGATGTATTACTAATACCTTCCATTTGGTGGTATTAACAATACATTGGATTTAATACCATGGGATTATCTATGTAAAGACAAAAATATCCCTAAAATCCTTTTATTTATTTTCTTGATTTTATATTTTATATTTGTACTAGTAAATTTATTTAAATAAATTAGCTTACAAATTTTATTATTTAGAGAGAATTGTTTGTTGATAAATAAATGCAATACATATCAATATAATATTTAAAATGTGAGTTGTTTAACAAATACTAATTGAAAAGATGAATATATCACCACATGACGTTTGTGATCTTAATTGAATATATTATTTGTTGATTTATATGTGGTTTCTATTTATTTGTATTTTAAACAATTTATAAATTGCATACATATTAAAACTACTTGTAATTTTTATGTATAAATGTAGATGATTTATTCGATTTTACTATTGTTTACCGTCTTTTCAGTTTTAAAGTAGATGGTCTATCTATTCTAAATTGAAATTTAACGTTTTTTAAGTGATTAATTTATTAAGATGACAATTATCTACCTTCAAATAATTCAAGTGAGAAAATAGAAAATATGACAACAAAATTGTTATTTTCCTAACTAGTTAGAAGGCATAGAAAAATAATATTGTCCGACAATTATCTACCTTGTCCCGATTACATAAAATAGAAAATCTCATAATAATTCCAGGGTATAATTGGAAAGAAGTTTTTTTTATAGAGTTTTAATTCAACCACAAGATTAATTAGAAAGCAATGAACCAAACACTTAGATAAAAATATACCCGCATTACTAATTTCAGCACAACTAATTCCTGCATTACTAATCCTTGCGTTACTAATCCCTGTGTTATTTATTTTTCTACCAAACTACCCCATATTGTTCTCTAATAAGTAGTCGTACTTTGTTGATTGTGTCTTACTAATAGTGCATGCATTTATCTGATCCATCTCAACAATGGCGGCATCTTCTCCAAATCCTTCCTCTTCCACTTTCCTCAACAATCCTTTTACATCTTCTTCTTATTATTCCTCTAAGCTTCTTTCCAGAACCTTCTTTCCTTTTCCACACACTCCAACAATTATTCCTCATAAATCTCTTACCATCACCGTCGACGTTTCCACAACCCCAAATGGTGCTCCAGTACCATTAATGGAGACGACATTCATTTCTCGATTCCTCCCCGATGAACCCCGAAAAGGATGTGACATCTTGGTTGAAGCCCTTGAGCGTGAAGGCGTTAACAGTGTATTTGCTTATCCAGGCGGTACTACTCTGGAAATTCACCAGGCTCTTACCCGTTCTCCAACCATAAGGAATATATTGCCACGTCATGAACAGGGGGGCGTTTTCGCAGCTGAAGGTTATGCACGCGCCACCGGGTTCCCTGGTGTTTGTATGGCTACCTCTGGCCCTGGAGCTACTAATCTTATTAGTGGTCTTGCTGATGCTATGGCTGATAGTATTCCAATTGTTGCTATTACAGGTAGCTCAAGTCATCAATACTGTTCCCTTCTCTTCTATTTATTCCATTTAATATTGTTAGAGCAGTTAGTCGAGTAAAGTTTATTTTGGATACCTTAATGAGTTTTGGAATTTGATGGGTCAAGTTAGATTAGTGCTGGCAAAATAAGCCCATATTTTGGTAACCCGTCCAATCTGTTCATATTTTAATAGGTTGGGTGAATGACTTTTTACATAGATAAAATATAGGTAAACTATGGGTAAATTATGGATTAATTTTTTTTTAACTTTTATTCACTCAAAATTCATGATATCACTAAAAAAATTGTAACTTCTCTTTCTTTTTATGTTCTTCTATAAAACTAATTATTTTTCTCTATAATTGAAAAGGTGAAGTCTTTGATCCTCCAAAAATATATATTTTAAATGTACATTTCTTTTGTTAATTATAATTATATTTTTTAATTGTTTATTTTTATATTGGATAATAAATAATAGTGTAAAATAAGCAAATCATGTATTAGTATTGACATTGCTTAAAGTGCATTAAGCATGGTTTAGTCCTAAAATGCAAATATTCATTTATTTTGAAATGAAAAATATGTTCCCCTTGTTATTACATAAATTTATTTTATATTGAAAAGTTTAGGATTTTTTTTTTTTTTTACTTTTATGATACAATAAAACTAAATGAAGCATTTTCAACACTTTTCATCTAAAAAAAGACTAAAATATTTTCTCCATATTGAATTCTTAAGTAGAGTACTATTTACTCATGAACCTATGGATAAAATATGGGTACACTAGTATTTTACCCAATTCATTTGTTATCCAATCCATTTTTACCCATATCAAATATGAGCGGATTGATCCATTTTCAACCCGTCCAAATTTGACCCAACCCTCCCATTTGCCACCACTAATTATTTTGGTGGCCAAAAAACATCAATTCCAACTCATTACTAAATTAGGTACGGGCTGTGCCAAATCAGCCTAAAAAAACTAATCTGAATCTATTTTTTTTTAAAATTTTTTAATTTAAATAATAATTTTAAAATGCTATCATAAATATCTACAAAACAATATTACATGTTGTTACTATGCAAATATCTTGGATACAACCTACAAGAAAATGATCTTAGCCCAACCCTATCAAATCACGGGTTGGGCTGGGCCTAGCCCATATCGACGGCCCCTTTGACTGTTCACGCCCTTTAAAAACATGAGTGACATGATTATTTTATCATAATATTCATAGTAATTGATATTTAATATTTAATTTTGAGAAAAAAAATGGAGAATAAGTGATTAACACCGAAAGTAAAACATGAAATTTTTTTGTTTATCTTTGATTTGTTAAAGCCTAAAAGTGATAAATAAAAATATATTTTTAATATAGTGAACAAGTAAAAATGATCCGGGGAAAGAGAGTAGTTCACTGATAAAATTTGTTTAGTCATGACCAAATATTTGAAGTAAGACACTTGTTTAATTTGGTGCTAGTACTGCTAATCTTGAGTTGTTACTGTATATTACAGGTCAAGTTCCTCGTAGAATGATTGGAACAGACGCATTTCAAGAAATTCCAATTATTGAGGTAACTAGATCAATTACCAAGCATAATTATCTAGTCATGGATGTTCACGATATTCCCAGGATTGTCCGAGAGGCGTTTTTCCTAGCTCGATCAGGACGACCTGGACCGGTTTTAATTGATGTTCCTAAAGATGTTCAACAACAAATGGATATTCCTAATTGGGATCAGCCCATGAAGTTGCCAGGTTATATGTCTAGACTCCCGTTACCACCAAAAAAGACGCTATTGGAACAAATTGTTAGATTAATTTCTGAGTCAAAGAAGCCTGTTTTGTATGTTGGTGGAGGGTGCGTACAATCCAGCAATGAGTTAAGACGTTTTGTTCAGCTCACAGGTATGTATGTATATCGATATTTGATATATTCTGATTGCCAGTAGAAATTTGGGGGCCTAAGATAACTGTCTTTTTTCTAACCTGTGCACACAGGTATTCCTGTGGCGAGTACTTTGATGGGATTAGGAGCGTTTCCAACAGGGGATGAGCTTTCGCTTCAAATGCTAGGGATGCATGGTACTGTTTATTCAAATTACGCGGTGGATAGTAGTGATTTGCTTCTAGCATTTGGAGTGAGGTTTGATGATCGTGTCACGGGTAAATTAGAAACATTTGCAAGCAGAGCAAAAATTGTTCACATTGATATCGACTCCACAGAGATTGGTAAAAACAAGCAGCCTCATGTATCTATTTGTACTGATATTAAGTTGGCGTTACAGGGGTTGAATTCGATATTAATGGAGAGGAGAAACGTGTTGAAGCTGAATTTCTCGCCTTGGAGGAAAGAGTTAACAGAGCAAAAATTGAAGTATCCTTTGAAGTACAATTTTTATGGTGGATCTATTCCTCCACAATATGCAATTGAAGTCCTTGATGAGTTAACTAATGGAAATGCTATTATAACAAGTGGTGTAGGGCAACACCAAATGTGGTCTGCTCAATACTATAAGTACAAAAATCCAATGCAGTGTTTGACATCTGGTGGATTCGGAGCGATGGGATTTGGATTACCTGCTGCAATAGGAGCAGCAATAGCAAGACCAGATGCAATTGTTGTGGACATCGATGGGGATGGTAGTTTCATGATGAATGTGCAAGAGTTAGCAACAGTTAGAGTCGAGAATCTTCCTGTTAAGATGATGATTTTAAATAATCAACATTTGGGAATGGCGACACAGTGGGAGGATAGGTTCTATAAGGCGAATAGAGCAGATTCTTATCTCGGAAATCCTTCTAACAAGGCACGGATTTTCCCTAACATGTTGAAATTCGCGGAGGCTTGTGATATACCTGCTGCCCGAGTGATTCATAATAATGATGTTAGAGATGCTATACGAAAGATGTTAGACACTCCTGGACCTTACTTGTTGGATGTGATTGTGTCTCATCAGGAGCATGTTTTGCCTATGATTCCCAGTGATGGGGCTTTTAAGGATGTTATCACGGAGGGCGATGGGAGATGTTCCTACTGATATTTCGCCTACCAAATTCTGATTTGACAATAAGAATTGTATTGGAAGAACAGGGGATACAGTATTAATAAGAGAGACGCACAGACTAATTAATGATCAATTTAAATAAAATGATGTTAGTAGGCTTTCCTGTTGTACTATGAATTGTAGTTACTATATGTTTGCTTGAAGCTTTACGTAATCGTCTTGTCTTCAATTGGAATAGTAATAATTTTAGTTATCTGTAAAAACATCCCATGGACAAGCATTACCCTGGAAGATTCTTTGATTCCTTTTAAACCATAACTGGTAGATACATCCTGCTAAAAGCATTCTGAAGATCTCTGTTTTGCTGAATTTACCTTCAACATTCTGTTCTATGCCCATTTTAGTTCCTCAGCCCAGACAATTAATACTTCACGAGACACTCAATAAAACATAAACAACTTTTAGCGGCAATAAATATGCACATTAACAAAGAGTGTTAAAGTTTTTACCAGCATTAGTAAATTGTCATTGGATTCAATATCGATATAGTCTTTAACGACATTTACAAAGAGTGTTAATTGCCACTGAAAAGACTTATTTAGCGGCAATTAAGCTATTAATTGTCGCTTAAGGATCATTTTTTGTGCAATGTTCCTATCCATTTGAATCTTCTTTACCAGATAGCACACACGAGTTTTGACATGAAAGAATATGTGTCGTATACTTTATTCTTCATTGTTGCACAGTATACAGACATAGTATGATTAGCAACACCTTATTTATGCGACCTATGATCTCTCATTCTCGGGTACGTATTTACAACAACAACAACATACCCAGTGAAATCCCACTAGGTGGGGTCTGGGGAGGGTAGAGTGTACGCAGACCTTGCCACTACCTCGTGGAGGTAGAGAGGCTGTTTCCGAAAGACCCTCAGCTCAAGTACATCAAATCCAAGTAAAAGGCGAGGAAAACAGTGTATAAAACATACCATCCAATAAGAAAGATAGTATATAATCAACAAAGGAGACAGTAACATCAATAAAACAATGAGAGAAGTGAAACGCAGTAAACAACATAAGGCTATAGGTATCACAGACAAGAACTGCAAGTGCAAGGCTAGGACTACAACACACGCTAACAACCCATACCCTCGCAAGGAAAGACAACACGCTAGCCCTACTAACCTTCAACCTTAATACGCGACCTCCACTCCTTTCTATCTAGAGTCATGTCTTCGATAATGTGAAGCTGAGCCAAGTCCTGTCTAATCATATCTACGTATTTCTGATTGAAAAATTTGTCCATGCTACATACGGGTGCTCAGTTGAACACCCTTCATCGAAAATTATACTGTTTATATATATCAAAAATCAAGTTTTTACGTACATATTAAATTTTGAACACTCTTAACAATTTTTTTGATTTCGCTGTGAAATATTCTTTAGCCTTCATTTTTTTCCTAATGGTCCAAGAGGCTTGTGCAGGGCCACCTGCAATATAAACTTCGTGTGTTCATTGTATCAAGAACCACTCTGTTTTGAGGCATACATTTCAGAGAAGTTTGCATATTTGCTGTCAAATTATCTCAATTAGTTGTTACATTAAGTTAGATTTCTATATTCCCTAGTTCGAATGTAACTGATGTTATTGCGTCCTTTGACTCTTTGAAACCGATTATGTGTTAGTATAGTAAGATTATTTGTTGCCAATTTTTTTATTTAAAAAAATCAATTATCAATTAATTGCAAACAAACTGATCCTATACTATATACTATAGAAAAGCTTAATACATTGATCATTAACTTGACGTCAGCTGACAACTATGATCTTTAATTTTGGGTGTGCACAAATAGACACTTAAACTTGTATAAAATTGAACAAATAGACACATTTATCCTACATGAAAATTTTACATCCTACGTGGCGTCTTACATGTATTATGCCATGTAGAACATGTGTGTCTACTTGTTCAATTTTATACAAGTTTAAGTGTCTGTTTGTGCACACTGAAAGTTAGAGGGCATAATTGTTCACTGAAGCCAAGTTAATGTATAATGCCCGAAATACACCTCACAAAGTTATGTTCAACAGTATCAAAATCACTCAAAGTGAATAGAGTACCTCATTCATCAAAATATGAAATATCTAGTCTACCTACAAATAAAAAGAAAATGACTATCATTTTGGTAAATCCACTAATACATAAAGGCTCTAAAGCTTGGACTGAATTAAAGGACGTGCGTGCCAAATTACAAATGTAGCCTCCAACATTCTTCATGGCTACTCTGATTAAATTTTATAACAGGATAGGCGTTATTTCACTTAATTATCAAGTCATGTAATTAATATTCGATCAATAAAGATCATCTTCTTTAGCACAAAAAAATGGTATTTAGAATGTTATTTTTGATTATTATTTTTTTGAGTTTCATATTAAAAGTTAAATACAAGATATTTTCTCATCGGATTTGGCTCCCCTCTAGTCTTATAATTTTGACATGTGTCCTAGTAGTAACCAAAAGAATTTAAATATGGTAAACAGAAGGTGTAACAACAGGACACATATTACTTACTAGTACCTAGAATCCTAATACTAGTACAAAGATACGTTATTACATTTGTAAATAAAACTTCACACACACACATATATATATATATATATATATATATATCGATAAACAAATCATGATGCATGTCCTAAAGAGATTGATTTTTTCTTGCCAATATTCTTCAAGGCAGAAGAGACAATTTTCCCCATCTTTTCAACAGTCATGGCCTTCACTGACTTTTGTTCTTTGGGAAAAACACTTCCACTCTTGGCTTTGTGTGGAAATACTCCATTATTTTTCTCAGCCATCTTCTCTCTTTCTTTATGTGAATGTTTGTGAGAAAAAGAGCTTTGCTTATATACTTATTTTGTGATTATTTGGAAGATTTTATAGAGGGAGCTGATAAGGCTTTGTTTTGTGGTCACTCATGAAATTAAATTTCACATAAGGTTGATAGGGAATTCAAGCTCATAATTTCTTGCATGGTGTGTACATATGTGTGCAGTCATTTATGTGTTTTTCTATACCCATATTTAGAATAGAGAGGAGTGAATGTTTTCGACAAATAAATGATAACTACTTTCTTCGTTCCAATTCAGTTGATAATGTTCATTTTATTTTTTAATCCGTCTAAAAATTAATGACATATAATATAATTTTAAATTTTTTATTTGTTCATAATGATGAGATAATTGTAGTCACAAGAATTTTAATGAGTTATTTTAAATCACAAGATTCAAAACTCAAAAAAATTATTTCTTTCTTTTTTAACGAATGAAATTTATGTTGAATCAAATAGCTGCCCATAAATTAAGACTAAAAATACTCCAAACTATTACACCAACTCCGCGTGAGGTGCGTGTTAGACTGTTAGAATGTGTAAGGGATGCAAAGGAGAGACATCAATTTACTTGTCATACAAGGCTCCCAATTGAGCCCAAAAAAATGAAACCAAATTTATTCACATTATACCAAAAATATATTTTATTTATTCATTTTAATAAATAATAATAATAATAATATTTCTTATATTATTCTTAGTATTATAAAATTATATAAAATAATAATAATCAAGTTTAGACTTTCAAAACATTATTAATAAACATATTTTAATAAAATGCACATTTAATTAAAAAAAATTAATAATATATTAGAGCAATACAGATCAAATAATATCAAACTAATTAATGGAGTAGAAAAAATAACTAAGAGTCAATGATACTAAGGCTCTTTAGATATTATTTATATGCTTTCACCAAGACCCATATATATTCACATAAATTTTACAATATATATATATATATATATATATCGATAAACATATCATGATGCATGTCCTAAAGAGATTGATTTTTTCTTGCCAATATTCTTCAATGCAGAAGAGACAATTTCCCTCATCTTTTCAACAGCCATGGCCTTCACTGACTTTTGTTCTTTGGGAAAAACACTTCCACTCTTGGCTTTGTGTGGAAAGACTCCATTATTTTTCTCAGCCATCTTCTCTCTTTCTTTATGTGAATGTTTGTGAGAAAAAGAGCTTTGCTTATATACTTACTTTGTGATTATTTGGAAGATTTTATAGAGGGAGCTAATAAGGCTTTGTTTTGTGGTCACTCATGAAATTAAATTTCACATAAGGTTGATAGGGAATTCAGGCTCATAATTTCTTGCATGGTGTGTACATGTGTGTGTAGTCTTTTATGTGTTTTTCTTATAGACATAATTAAAATATAGAGGAGTGAAAGTTTTCGACAAATAAGTAATTTTTCATATTTTTCTTTGAACTTGTCCTTCGTAATTCTCCACCGGCCACCACACTTACTTCATCCATCTTTTTTTAATTGTTATAGTTTCCTTTTTTCAGAGTCAAACGATAAGAACTTTGACCAACATTTTATGATGTATTTTTTCATCATATTGATATGCAAAAAATTGCAATTTATAGCACTTTTCATATAATTTTTAAATATTTATTTATTTTATTTAAAATATAAATTAATGTAATCTAATTTAACTTTGAAAATTAGTCAAATTAACTTTCGGAAAACATAACATAACAATTAAATATAGACGGAAGTAGTATTTATTATTTACTCTCTGTAAAGTGGGACAGAGGAAATACTATAATTAATGCTTGTTCAAGTTTAGTTAAGTACTCCCTTTGTCCCTAATTACTTGTCCACTTTTGAATTGACACACCTTTTAGGAAAACAATTAATGACATAGTGAGTTTATCATATTACTCTTATTAATTATGAAGTGGAGGAAAAATTCTACATTTTCAAAGTAATTAGTCATTTAATTGAGGGTATAATAGGTAAAAAAAAATTGTCCTTTCTTGATTTGTCAAAATGGACAAGTAATTAGGGATAACTATAAAAGGAAAAATGGATAAGTAATTAGGGACAGAGAGAGTATTTTACTACTCTCTCTATCCTTAATTACTTGTCCACTTTTGAATTGACACACCTATAAGAAAAT